TCATGGCGTTTAGTGGGGTTCACAAGACGACACATGACGTTTCATGACGTTGGGACTTTCGGAAAAATCTATCCAGACACTAAAAGTTTCATGAGTGATTGAACAAAAATACATAGGAAATCTGGCCAGACGATAAAGGTTTCATGCTTACCTCTACAGACATTACAACAAATTTGTCTCTCCAGACATCTGTCTATCCAGACACCAATGGTGAAAACACACACACACACACAAACAAAACCCCAACGGGTTTAAGGGTTGAGGGTTCGGGGTCGAGGGGTTAGGGGTTTGAGGGTTTAGGTTTGGGGTTTCAGGGGTTATTTGTTTGATGAGCACACACACACAATGCCTGTCCAGGCACCGCACAAAGCAAGCTTGCCTATCCAGGCATAACAACTTGCCTATCCAGGCAACAACTTGCCTATCCAGGCACAACAACTTGCCTATCCAGGCACAACAACTTGCCTATCCAGGCACAACAACTTGCCTATCCAGGCACAACAACTTGCCTATCCAGGCACAACAACTTGCCTATCCAGGCACAACAGATTCTTGCCTATCCAGGCATGTGCAGCAGCTTGCCTATCCAGGCATGCACAAAAAATGGTGCATGCACCACCTGCCTGTCCAGGCATTCAAAGCACACACACACTCTCCCTCTCTTTTTCTCGCGGGACTCCACCCCTCGTTGTGCCATTCGGCGATCCCTTCATGCGATTTCGCATGAGGATGCAAAAGAGGCTACTCTACGGAGGCTCGGCACCTTTCAGTCATCAACATCTTTAGGATCTACATTCATCAACATCACAGCTGCTAGAAACTCCACAAAACAACACTCCTCAACATCTGCATTCATCTAGCTATCATCATCTCCTAGGTGCCTTGAGAGCCTTTTCAAAGGCCGTTGTGGCCTTTGAAGCCAAAGCAACGGTGCAAAACTCTCCAAAGGTCTTTGGCTTTTTTCTGACCTCTGAAGCCCTTGCACGATCTTACCATGCAACCTTCAACACCTGGTCTCATGTCTGACCCTCTGTGAACAAAAGACATCTTGCTGCACTCCTTACACACCTTGAAAAAGCTTGCATGGTCCTTAAAGAAATCATCGCTGGCATTGCCATCGTAGTCCTCAAACTCAGCCAGCTTCTCCTCCTTCTGCCCCGCCCATGGGTCGTTCTCAGCGTCCTCCCACGGATCCTTCAGGGTGTAGGGTTCAGGGTTTAGGTTTCAGGGTTTAGGTTTCAGGGTGTAGGGTTCAGGGTTTTGGTTTCAGGGTTTAGGTTTCAGGGTTTTGGTTCAGGGTTTAGGTTTCAGGGTTTTGGTTTCAGGGTTTTGGTTTCAGGGTTTAGGTTTCAGGGTGTAGGGTTCAGAGTTATGGGTTCAGGTTTCAAGGCTTAGGTTTCAGGGTGTGGGGTTCAGGGCTTAAGGTTCAGGGTCTAGGGTTTCGGCGTTTTTACTGGGTTAAGGTTTGGGTACATTGGTGTCTCTCCAGACACACACTTGTCTCTCCAGACATTTTTTTCCGCGGGGTCAGGGTCCTGGGTCCTCGGGGTCATCCTGGTTCTTCTTCTGCTTCTTTCCTTCTGGGCCATCCTTGGCGCTTTAGGGGGGTTCGCACAAAAATCAAGTCCTTGTCTATCCAGACAATGAAGCCACTTGTCTTTCCAGACATTATATTTCCAAACAAACACAACAATTAACCATCTAAAACAAAGGCTCCTGGTCCTTCTGCGGCGGCGGTGGCGGCGGGGGATCCTTCTTGTCGTCCTTCTTGTGCGGGGCATCCTGCAGGGTTTAACTCATGTACTATATGTCTTTCCAGACACTACATTCTGTATATAAACACAAAAAAAATATAAAGCCCAGGCTCCTTCTCGCCGGTCTGATCCCCCTGCCAGTCCTCATCCCGGTACGACGATCCTCCCCACTGCGAGCCTCCCCAGGACCACCAGTCCCAGCCCTGGTTCCAGGACCACGTCTCATCACCCGGCGGAGCGGCACCATCATCTCCATCTCCCTGGCCACCACCTCGATCACCATCTCCACCATGGCCACCATGCGTACCATCTCCACTTCCCTTGCCACCATCTCCACCATGGCCACCATGCGTACCATCTCCACCTCCCTTGCCGCCATCATGGCCACCATCATCTCCACCTCCTCGGTGATCCACGTCTCCACTTCCTCTCCCAGGTGTGCTCGGTCCTCCGAAAAAGACTTTTGGGCTTTAGGGTTTAAGGCTTTAAGGTTCTCTATGGTTTTTCTGTTACGGTGTTCAGGGCCGGGGTTTCGGGCTTAATGGGGTTGTAAGAGCTCAAGGGGATAGGATTTCAAAATTGTCATCAGCTAGGGTCCTTGGGGGCCATCATCATCTTCTTCTTCTGCAACCACCCTCTTGGCGAGGTAGTGCATGAACTGGTCGTAGGTCTTGAGGGTGGAGACACTGACAGGGATTCAGGGTTTAGGGTTCAGGGTTCAGGGTTTTGGGTTCGGGGTTTAGGTTTCAGGGTGTAGGGTTCAGGGTGTTGGGTTTAGGGTCTAGGGTTTC